GTATTACACAACCTCGCTGCCTCTCTGCAATCAGACTCGCTTTCATTCACACTCTTCATGCATGCAAACAGTAGCACTATAAACTGGCGACATGCGCCCACTCAAAACTCAGAGATATGGCAACCCAGGTACGAGTTCACTTTGAATGGCTATGGCAACTCAGCGCCCAAACAACTCACTGTTCACATACACCGGATCACCCTGGATATCCCACACACGTCTCTCTGAATACTCACACACACACACACACACACACACACACACTAAACTACAGCTATGGCAGCTATGGCTTCCCCTATCGCTATGCTACGCTCCTTCTCTCTCGCCCACTTCTCCGGGCCCACTGCAGACCTCCTTGCACAAGTCGCTGTGGCAGCGCTTCCGCATGGCTCACGCAGGGATGAATGAATGGCTGGGCGCTGCCTCATGATTTATACTTCTGAAACTCGTTGGTCTGCCCTTTCCCCTCGGCCCATGGTGCTCACAGTCCCTTGTGGTACTTGCTGGACTGGACTGGGACTGACTGGACCTTGCCGCTGACTGAATGGAGACTCACTGCTAGCCTTCCGAGGTCGTACTGCAATTGCACTGCAGTTAGTCCACCACTTGACTCACAACTTGCCCACTTGCCCACTTGCTGACCTTCCAGAAGGGCTACAGCTAAGACTTCTGGAACTCGCTAAGGCTTCTATCCTACAGATCTACAGATCGAACCCCTCCTACCTACGGACCTATGACAGCCTACCAACTGTTTACGAATACACAGGTCACAGGTTCAACTCTCAGGGTCTACTCAGGTACTGTACACAGGTAGTCTAGGGATCGAGCCCTGGGATCTGCATCTGCTACTGCAAAAAGGTGAAAACCGTTTCACTCCTGCTGTCCTAAATTCGAGGTCCTCCGAGAATATTTCAGTCCAAGGCAGGACCTTTACCCTTCTTATCACGCTCATAGGCTCTGACTATGTCGGGAGCTGTTTCCAGAAGCTCTGTTCTAGTAAACCAGCGGTCGCCTTCCGGTTCTTGATAAGCAAACCGGACCTTACACTGTTTCTGTGGACGACCTCTACCTCCTGTCCTGAACACATCTTCATCTACAATGCCGTCAATGTCATATCTTCCATCCATATCCGGGGGGATCATGGATCGTCTTGAAGGGAACTGCTGACTTGTGACACACGGCTGAGGCATGGAATACAGGATAAGTGTGGAGGTGTGCTGGAATCTCTATTGCGTAGGACGGCCCATCCTCTCCGCCCTTGACTTCTAGAACCGGTCACGGTCCTCTATATGCAGGTAGCAACTTCTGTGAGATGTGCTCCTCAGGTGCAAACTCTTTAGATTTGACCCAGACTAAGTCGCCTACCTGAAATTGTGATGGGCGACGGTGCTTATTAGCCTGTTCTATCATTCTGTGCTGGGCCTTCCTGAGGTTTTCAACAACGGTAGCTAATTCTTTCTCGTGCTGTATCGCAAACTCCCTGGTACCAGACGGTAACCTGTGAACCTGATCCCGGTTCAGTCCTTCAAATCGTCTGCGCGGTCTAAAGGACTTGTGCAGCTCATTGGGAGTGCGACAGGTGGACAAATGCACGCTGTTATTGTATGCGCTAGCTACCTTAGGTCACATTTCATCCCAGTTGATCTGGTCGGGTCTAATGAACGTGCGCAGAACTTGCTGTAGGATCTTATTCACTTGCTCGGTCTGACCGTTGGTCTCTAGGTGGCGGCCAGACTACATCAACAACTTAGATCCGTAAACTCCCATGAGTTCTTGCCAGTTCTGGCTGGTAAAGCGACTATCTCTATCGCTAACTATTGACAATGGGACTCCATTCTCACTAACCTAAAGATCAAAGAACTTTCGTATAACTAAATCCGTACGTGCCTCTGCAGGCAAGGGAACAAAAACAGCATACTTACTAAATCGGTCAACTATGACCATGACTTGGCTCTGGCCGTGTCTACTCTTGACACCGGCATCCATAAAATCAATGGAGACTGAGACTCCCGGCTGGTCTGGGATAGGCAAGGGTCTGAGAAGACCTAGAGGGCCACGCGTAGTCGTCTTGTTCCTCTGGCAAACTTTGCAACTGCGAACATACTCTATGCAGTCAGCTTTCATTCCAGGCCAGGTATACGCACGCATCAGATTGACTAAAGTCTTCTGCCAACCGAAGTGTCCCTCTGTGTCGTGGCATTCCCCTAAGATCAAACTACGGATCTCTTCACAGTTGGGAACGCACAGGCGGTCTACTACATTAGTCTTCTCAAACAATAGTCCTGTTGTAGTGCGGTAGTCTGGTTCGGTCTCTGGGGCCTCCTTAACTCTCTTGAGGAGATCACTATAGATAGGATCCCGCGCATACGCCTGTCGGACTTTCTCTTGCAGGTCCTTTCCTATGTCCAGATAGTGCACTATGGCTCCAAAGTAGTCTGATCTCCTACTCAGAGCATCCGCAACTACATTGTACTTGCCTTTGACCGGTTTGAGCTCAAAGTCATATTGGTCTATCTCGGCGGCCCACCTAGTTAACTTAGGTGTCATCTTGGCCTGGGTCTTTAACCATCTAAGTGTCTCATGGTCAGAATATACTTTGAAGTGCCTCCCAAGCAGATAATGCTCCCAGTGCTCTAAAGCCTGCCTGAGAGCGTAGAGTTCTCTCTCATACGTCGAGGTACCTACCTTCTCTGAGGGCATCCTCGCTGACATGAACTATACGGGTCTGTAGCCATTGCCGTCGTCTTGCTGCAACACGGCGCCTATACCATACTGACTCGCGTCCGTGGTGACGACAAATGGCAAAGACGGATCAACTACTTTGAGGACAGGGTATTCTATTAACGCGCGCTTCAGTCTCTTTAGCGCCGACGTATAATCTTTGTCCCATTGCCAAATTGCCTCTTTCTTAAGCAACCTGCGCAAAGCGGCGATAGCAGAGAAGTTCCTCACGAACTTTCTATAGTAGTTAGCTAGGCCTAAGAACGACCGCAACTCCGTCAATGTGTGGGGCGTCGGCCAATCTTTAATTGCCGCCATCTTGCTGTCCTCTGGCTTAATGCCATCTCCGTCTAATACGTGGCCCAAGTACAAGACTTGTGTCTTGGCCCACTCGCACTTCTTTGCGTTGATGTTGAAGTTAGCCTCTCGTAGCTTCTCCAAGACCTGCCTCAAATGACCGTGATGCTCATGGAGGGTCTTGCTGAAGACTAATATATCATCTTGATAAACTACTACAAACTTATCGAACCAAAGTCTAAACAAATCTTTCATACAACGCTGAAAGGTGGCTGGCGCGTTGGTTAGTCCAAAGGGCATCACGACGAACTCATAGTGCCCATATCTAGTCCGGAACGCAGTCTTGTACTGATCATCAGGATGGACCTCTATCTGATGATACCCGGACTTTAAATCTATCTTAGAGAAATACTTACAACCCTGCACCCAATCTAGAAGATCATCTATCCTGGGCAGCGGTTCAGCATTCTTCACAGTAATCGCATTCAAACCCCTATAGTCATACACATACGAAGCTCTCCTTCCTTCTTGGGGACAATCAGGACTGGTGCTCCAAAAGGAGACGAACTGGGCCTGATCCAACCCTTCTCGAGGAGCTCGTCTACCTGCTTGCGTAGCTCCTCTAACTCCCTAGGGGACATCCTGTAGATTGCTCCCTTAGGAGTCCTACTGCCAGGCTCTATCTCTATCCTGTGCTGGATGGGTCGCGACACTACCCTTGTCGACGACTTAGTCAAATCTTTGAATTCTTCCAGTAGCTTGGCAATACTGCCAGGCTCTATCTCTATCCTGTGTTGGATGGGTCGCGGCACTACTCTTGTCGGCGACTTAGTCAAATCTTTGAATTCTTTCAGTAGCTTGGCAATGGTTGGGTCTATGGAACTATCTCCTTCCTTAGCCTCAGTGACAGGCCTCACATACACTACGAAGACCTGATCCTCTAACTGCTCGTTTTTCACTAGTCTTGTGAACGTGGGAGCACTGAGACAGCAATGTGCCAAGGTGTTATCTACACCTCACACATGAAACAGGCGGGCAGTCTTAACCTCGCCTGACGGACTAGGGAGCCTACACCCATGCTCTCTTAAGTGGAGTGTGACCCCTGCTGCCTCTCCCCAATCCATTCCTAACACTATGTCGAAAGGAAGGTCATCCTGAACGAGGAGAGTCAGGGAATGGAGAACTTTCTCCACCTTCCCATCTTTCTCTAGGCGAAAGTACGTCTGGACTCCCTCTACGAAGTCCTCAACTCACATCGTGCGGTTGTCTGCGAGGACACTGACTATGGGGTCTGCCAGCTTCTGGACTTTCAATCTTAGCCTCAACTTCTTCAGCGCTCTACGGCTAATATAACTACGGGTGGCCCCTGAATCTATAAGGGCCCCTACTCTACTCCTGAAAACTTCTACATCAACTAAAATCAGTTGTCCTTTACTCTCTTTCTTCATTTTGGCCCAGGCTCGCATCCTCTCCTTCAGCTCTTCTGCCACACCTGTGAGGGACGTGCCTAAAGGAACGCTAACACAAGCAGACTCTGGACAGCTAGCTAGGCACGGGCCTGCAACCTGTGCCCTAGGCTCATGTGGTTTGGGAGTTTCCTGTGTGCGCGCGCTCACTTCCCCACATGGCCTTGAAGTAGGGGCAGTTGCAACCCCTACTGGCGGCTGCCTTTTGACTATTGAGCAGCCCATCGGGCCTGTCTGTACTTAGGACGAAATTTAATTACATGGGTCGGGGCACCACAGAATACGCACTGACCCAAGTCCACGCGTTCCTGCCATACGCGATGGTCCAAGCCCAAATCTTCCCAGGGCCTGCCTTGCGGCAAGCCTGGGTGCCATCCTCCTTGAGGTAGCCTTCCACCTCGTCGCTGTGGGGACCGACAAGAACCCTGACGATTTGGTGGGGGACCTTAACCCCTACCTCCCACTTGGCAGTTCCCTGGTCCGCCAACCCCCTGTGCGCCCGGTCTTCGGCCTCCCATGGCCTGGCCCCTTTGGCCCTGGCCTCCTCCTCTACCTTGCGGCCTCCCTCCAGCCGCGACAGCCGTATAAGACCTCCCCTGCCCTACGTTGTTGTCATCCTCCTCTAACCCCCACTCAATCTCACTGTAGGGGATCTCATCTGTACCACCCTCTTCTAACGTGAGGGTCATATGATCCTTGGCCCTCACTTGGCCAGAGATGGTACGACCCTTCCACTTCTTTCCTTTGTCCAAGTCCTTGTGCCAGAAAGTGGACACTGGCATGGACTTTGACTCATACAGGACCACCTCTCTACTTTGCACATCATAGGTGATGTTGGCCTGTTGAGACTTCTCAAAGAAATGCCCACGCAGGGGCTACAATATGACCAACTGGGGCTCAGTGACCCCGTGGTCTGGGACGGCTACCAAGTCGTCCATAACGCCCTTGAGTGCTCTTGCACTCCTCCACTATCGCGAGTGGATCGTCTGTAACTTATCAGAGGCTCTAACGCCTCTCGTTGGGTCAACAAATCTCTCCCTCTGGACTTTAAAGAATTGAGGAAGAGTGTTGATCTTGGAATATGCAACCATGTTGTTTCCACAACTGGCTGCACACGCAAGAGATCTGGCAAAACTGGCCGCTTCATCTTTAAGGGCCTGGAAGGCGACGAGGACTTGCTCTTCATTCAGGATGTGTTGTAAGTACACATAGCTATTCACGCTGGCCTCCCAGTTATCAAAATTCTCCTCTTTCTTTCCCCCGTATGCATATGGGAATTTAAGCTTAACGGGCTCCTTACGAGGCCTGGCCTCACCCTCTACAGCGGCTATTGCTTTGGCACCTTCGATGGTGGCCTCGCAGAACTTCCCCATGCTATCTCTCAGTCGCCAAACTTCGCCTCCAACATGGGTGACCATATCGCGCACGGAATCTCTAAATCCTGCCCGCATTGCACTCAGGGCCACATCCTGACCCCTATTGGCTTGGCGCTCCTCCATCCAGGCTGCACTAAACACTTCCAGATATCCCAACATCTTGTCCATTTTGGCAGAGATGTCCGGCTGCGCCTGGACCCTTGTCGACAATCTCTCACTTTTGCCACCTCCTCGGTCAGCCTATTAACTTCGCCCCTCCTTCTCTTTTTCTCCCTCTCCATCCTCAATTTCCAGACCAACTTCTTCTCTTCTTCCCTTTCTCGCCGTTCCAGAGGGTCCTCCATTGCTGCTAGCTCACTGACTAACGCATCCCTCTCGTCCTGTGGCACATAAAACTGTGCCTCCTCATCTTCCCCAAACGATAAATTAGCAATCCACTCACTAATATGGCAGCTATGGCTGCCTCTACCCTATCGCTATGCTACGCTCCTTCTCTCTCGCCCACTTCAGCTCCGGGCCCACTGCAGACCTCCTTGCACAAGTCGCTGTCGAAGCGCTTCCACATGGCTCACGCAGGGATGAATGAATGGTTGTGCGCCGCCTCTTGATTTATACTTCTGAAACTTGTTGGTCTGCCCTTTTCCTTCAGCCCATGGTGCTCACAGTCCCTTGTGGTACTTGCTGGACTGGACTGGGACTGACTGGACCTTGCCGCTGACTGAATGGGGACTCACTGCTAACCTACCAAGGTCGTACTGCAATTGCACTTCAGTTAGTCCACCACTTGACTCACCACTTGCCCACTTGCCGACCTTCTAGAAGGGCTACAACTTAGACTTCTGGAACTCGCTAAGGCTTCTATCCTACAGATCTACAGATCGAACCCCTCCTACCTACGAACCTACGACAGCCTACCAACTGTTTACAAATAGACAGGTCACAGGTTCAACTCTCGGGGTCTACTCAGGTACTGTACACAGGTAGGGCAAGGTCTAGGGATCGAGCCCTGGGATCTGCATCTGTTACTACAAAGAGGTGAAAATTGTTTCACTCTCTCTCTCTTGGCTTGTATTACACAACCTCGCTGCCTCTCTCTCTCTTGGCTTGTATTACACAACCTCGCTGCCTCTCTCTCTCTCTTGGCT